CTCTAACATACAGTAATATATAGAAAATTACAGTTCAACCAGGTGGCTCTAACATACAGTAATATATAGAAACTTACAGTTCAACCAGGTGTCTCTAACATACAGTAATATATAGAAAATTACAGTTCAACCAGGTGGCTCTAACATACAGTAATATATAGAAACTTACAGTTCAACCAGGTGGGTCTAACATACAGTAATATATAGAAAATTACAGTTCAACCAGGTGGTTCTAACATACAATAATATGTAGAAAATTACAGTTCAACCAGGTGTCTCTAACATACAGTAATATATAGAAAATTACAGTTTAACCAGGTGGCTCTAACATACAGTAATATATAGAAAATTACAGTTCCTTTTCTACATATTACTGTCTGTTAGAGACACCTGGTTGAACTGTAATTTTCTATATATTATTTCTGTTAGAAACACCTGGTTGAACTGTAATTTTCTATATATTACTGTATGTTAGAGCCACCTGGTTGAACTGTAATTTTCTATATATTACTGTCTGTTAGAACCACCTAGTTAAACTGTAAGTTTCTATATATTACTGTCTGTTAGAACCACCTGGTTAAACTGTAAGTTTCTATATATTACTGTATGTTAGAGCCACCTGGTTGAACTGTAATTTTCTATATATTATTTCTGTTAGAGACACCTGGTTGAACTGTAATTTTCTATATATTACTGTATGTTAGAGCCACCTGGTTGAACTGTAATTTTCTATATATTATTTCTGTTAGAACCACCTGGTTAAACTGTAAGTTTCTATATATTACTGTATGTTAGAGACACCTGGTTACCTGGTTGAACTGTAAGAACTGTAATTTTCTATATATTACTGTATGTTAGAGCCACCTGGTTAAACTGTAATTTTCTATATATTACTGTATGTTAGAGACACCTGGTTGAACTGTAATTTTCTACATATTATTGTATGTTAGAACCACCTGGTTGAACTGTAATTTTCTATATATTACTGTATGTTAGACCAACCAGGTGGCTCTAACAGAAATAATATATAGAAAATTACAGTTCAACCAGGTGGCTCTAACAGACAGTAAATACAATGAAAATAACAATCTTACCAGGTGAGGTTATATCAACAATACCATTTCACTCAGATTGTTAACACACATGATAGCTGGTAAATCACTTACCACATCAGCTTCCATCTTTTCTGGAGTCCATGCTAAATGGAAAATGTGTGTTTTGATATCCTGGCACATCTAAATTGATGAGAAGAAAACGATAACCGTATCTTCCTATACGTCGATAATATAACACAGGCAAACACGTAAACTTCATTTTCAATGTCGGGTTTATATTAACTAATTTTATAATGAATTAAAAGAAAATACAACTTCAATTCAACAACTAATATTCTCCCCCGGGGAGCCAGTGGTAAGTTTACAAGGAGTAACAACGTTAAAGATCTGGGGTTCGATGCTACGTAGCGGACAGAGTGCAGATAGCCCATTGAGTAGCTCTGCACTCAGAAAACTTCAACAACCCAACTTATATTTAACAAGTTTTGAATGGTAAATTATTATTATTATTCTACCTATGTATGAAGGAGAATTTTTTAATTGTTTATTAGATAAAAAAAGGAAAACTCAGAGAACTGATGATTCTGCTGGTAAATAAGGAACAAACTTGCAAATTGAAAATATGAAGAAAATTTGTTGGTTTAGAATTTTAAATACAAGAATCCTTAGCTAATAGTCAACCCCACTAACCATAATGAAAATGTCTGTTGTTATGGAGACATTACATTAACAGTGAAATTGTCTGTTGTTATGGAGACATTACATTAACAATGAAATTGTCTGTTGTTATGGAGACATTACATTAACAATGAAATTGTCTGTTGTTATAGAGACATTACATTAACAATAAAATTGTCTGTTGCTATGGAGACATTATATTAACAATGAAAACGTCTGTTGTTATGGAGACATTACATTAACAATGAAAACGTCTGTTGTTATGTAGACATTACATTAGAAAGAACGCATTGATTAATCCTGGAACTGATTGTGAACCATAAAATTCGGTTTTAACATATTCTTTTATAGTTAAAGAAAATGGAAAACCTTGTCAAATTCCGTTTCCTACTTAATCTACCTTACCTACCTACTCTCTTTACCTGCTACGAATTTCAATCGATAAATAAAGTCTACATTTTTTTTAAACGATTTTGAAGAGTGTTTCACAGAAGTCTATTCTCGATTTGGCACAGATCAGTTGTTATAGGTTACTATAATGGTGGAAACATACCTAACGGAATCTCGTTTCAACTTTCAGAACGAGAGTAAGTCGTTGGTGTAAACAAAATATTCTTGGTGGCACGAAAACAGTGTTTACTCTATAAAACACGCTATACATTTCACTCTCCTCCTTTCCCTAGGCCGTAACGTTTTATGAAAAGTCTGTTTAACTGTCTTTTGTTTAACTTAGATGTTAATGGAAGTTTCAGGACTTACAAAAAAGTCACGATATTTTAAGTATCTTTTTTTTTTCAATTTTAGAACATGTGGGTATGATATAAGAGACCCATAGTAAAGCTGATACAACGAAACGCTGGAAATAAAAAAATAATTTATTACAAAGTCCAGAATTTTAGCATTTTTATCTGTATTATTTACTTTTAAAGATCATTTTTGACAGCCTTAGTTTAGAACGTTTATTTGGGACTAATTTAAGCCTTCTAAACTGGATGTATGTATCTCCTGAGATATAACTGAAAACATCTTTAACAGCAAGAGTATATAGCTGATAAATAGGTCTGTTCTGATCACTATAGATTGGTGCATTAATTTATTTATGATATTATATACTTCTGGTTAGTTTGTTACATAGAAAGCAGTTCATTTCTTCTGGTTTACAAGGTTAGCTAATTTATTATTAGAAATTATTAACAATATATCACCGAAACTTTCCGCACAGAATGAACACTGAGCAATCAGACCACGAGTGGAGAAAACCGGTTCGTTAAGTTAACCGCTAGCTTCCCGGTATAAACCTCTAAATGTAAACAAGATTATTACCATTATAATTAACGAGGAGGTATTGGTCAACAAAGAACTATCCTAACACTGTTTAGACCACTAAATTAAGATCTTAATCCCTTCTGAAAACCTAGTTTTAGCCGTGGAGAGTAAGTATAGTCGGATGGACATATAAACAGCTAATCCGAGAAATTGTAGAAACAGATACAAAGCATTTACCTTTCCAGATACAGCGTCAGCAATAGAGATTATCTTGGACAGCACTTCTTCCTCCGATTTGTGAATGAGGCTGTTCACAGTTTCGCGGCATTGACTAGCAGATTTTTCTCCTTCCCTGTCTGACACGTCTTTAATAATTTGTTCTACACAAAGCTCCTCCAGGAGAGGTCGGATGGCTGTTCTCACGTGCTCAATGTTGTTGATGGTGATACAGAGCTGCGATTAGAAGAAAGAAAGAAAAAAATAAGTACATTTGTCAATTAGGTTGATGTCATTGTTTTTTCTTGACATTAGATTGATGTCCTTGTTTTTCTTGTCATTAGGTTGATGTCTTTGTTTCTTTCTTGACATTAGATTGATGCCCTTGTTTCTTTCTTGACATTAGATTGATGCCCTTGTTTCTTTCTTGACATTAGATTGATGTCCTTGTTTCTTTCTTGACATTAGGTCGATGTCCTTGTTTTTCTTGACATTAGATTGATGTCCTTGTTTTTCTTGACATTAGGTTGATGTCCTTTTCTTCTTGACATTAGGTTGATGTCCTTGTTTCTTTCTTGACATTAGATTGATGCCCTTGTTTCTTTCTTGACATTAGATTGATGTCCTTGTTTGTTCTTGACATTAGATTGATGTCCTTGTTTTC